GGGGGGGGGGGGGGGGGGGGGGGGAGGAACTGAGTTCCAGCATCCCCACGTTTTGAAGCATCTCAACTCTTGTAAAGTTGCTTCATTTCTGTATTTCCCTTTTTGAACCTTTCATGGGCAGCCCTTCTTCTTAATGTGTGTGCCATAATACCCCCACTTGGTGCTGTTAGCAGTTACAACTCTTTCAATCGCTCCTCCTTCTCCAATCCTTGTTTTCTTTTTTCTTTTTTTCTTTTTTATAAATTCCTTACTCTCATTTACTCATCTGCACTGCCCTGCTCTGCTCTGCTCTGCTTTCTTCCAGTTCTTCCCCTACCAACACAACACAAACATTCTGTTCTTTCCCTCTTCGCGTTTCTGGTGATGGGTGAAGAAGCTGTTAAGATGGTCAGTCAGTATCTTACTTATAACTTATTGTAATTAATGCAGTAGCGTAGCGTAAAGTAAAGTAATCGCTCATATATAACTTGTTCATGCAGGAAGAAGCAAAGGTAGAAGAGACGAAGGAAGAACTGAAAGTGGAGAAACCCAAGCCTTGTCCTCCTTCCGTGCTGTTGTTTGTGGATCTGCATTGCACAGGGTGTGCTAAGAAAATTGAGAAGTCCCTCATGAGAATAACAGGTCTTCTTTCCAATTCACTTTCCTACTTCTGCATTTGGAATTATTTGTGAACCTTGTCCCGATTCCTGATGGATGGATGGATGCAGGAGTTGAAGGGGTGAGCACTAATGTGGCCAAAAATGAATTAACCATCAAGGGAATAGTAGACCCACACGCGGTTTGCGCCAAAATCACCAAGAAAACCAAGAGAGTAGCCAAAGTGTTGTCCCCATTGCCACCAGCTGAGGGCGAACCCACCGGCCCCCAACTTGTGAACTCCCAGGTATCAGCACACGCACCTACGCACCTACCCTGCTCCAACCATACCACAATGCTTTAATTTGTTTATAAATTTTAATTCATTGAAGGTGGGTGGATTGACGGTGGTGGAATTGAAGGTTAACATGCACTGCGAGGCCTGTGCCCTGCAACTCAAAAGAAAGATACTCAAAATGAGAGGTACTATTGATTCAACCAGTTTTGAGAACTGATCAGACATGGATTACTTATGATTCATTGAAGGCGGATTTCATTTGTAATTGTCCAGGAGTGCAAACAGCATGGACGGAACTGAGCACGGGGAAAGTGGTGGTAACAGGAAGCATGGATGGGAGTAAGCTAGTGGAGTACGTGTATAGACGCACCAAAAAGCAAGCCAGAATAGTGCCACAGCCGGAACCTCCTCAGCAAGAAAACAAGCCCCCTCAAGAAGAACCACCAAAAGCCGAAGAAAAGAAAGAAGATGAGACAAAGACAAAGACAGAAGACGCGCTACCCCAAGGAACAGACACGAACAATAACAAGGAGGAAGAACAACCAAAACCGACGGAACCAGCGGAACCAGGGGAACCAGGGGAAGAGACGAAGGCAAGTAGTGTGGAAGCGAAGCCGGCGGAGGGCGGAGAGGAGAAGATTGTTATGGATGAGGTAGACCCTGAAATCATGAAGAGGATGATTTACCATAATTATCAGTATCAGCCGCTGTACGTTATCGAACCAATTCCTCCACCGCCTCAGCTATTCAGCGATGAGAATCCCAATGCTTGCTGCATCCAGTAAATGCTTGCTATACATTATCAAGATTATAATATCCTATCCTTGTGTGCGCCTTCTGTAATATATTCATTTCTATATTCATATCTAATAATCCAATTCTCTGATTCCATGTGGTCGATCATCATATTCCTGATTTAATTTATATTCTTTTTTGCATATAATTAATTTAACAGGCGTGGCATGTGATGCCCAAACATGAGATTAGTTTTCCATTGGGATATAAAATATATGTATTTGGAAAAGAATATAATTGAATTTTGATTATTCCATTATGTTTGATTTGAAGAGAAGAGTAATTTGAAGTATAGACAAAGCATTTGATCCAAATATGCAACTAAAGAATAGAGCACGATTTGACTAGATCAAGCATTAACTATCTCCACAATTGTTAAACAAATAAAACACCCATTGTTCTTTCCTGAAGACAAAATGGACTCCGAGAATTTGGTGCATTGTGTGACCGTAGAGTAACCTATGATGGGTCATATTGCGATACGAGGGTTAAACGGTCAAACCATAGTTGCTTGTGAGCATGCTAAGAAGGTGTGCCGGAACCGAAAATAAAGAAACGAAGTATATTTTATGATTGGTGTTAAAAGAGCAAGGCCACAGTATTAATAAACTTGGACATTACATTGTATTAGTGGATCACTCTATAAATATTGTAGATGTGAAAATGAAGTTGATGATAGGTGGAATTGTTTGAGAAAAGAAGGGTTTGGGGAGTAGAGCATTAGGCGAACAACGTGTTGGAAGTCGTTAAAAATTAAAATATAGTTAGGAACAAAGAAAACAACAAACCCTCCTCGTCACTCACTGCGCTTTAATACTAATGTGTATTGGTAATTGGTATTGGTTTTCACGTGGATGGGCCCTTCTTCTGAAGCATGAATCATGTTACGAAAATGGGGCATTGAAAGCAATAAGATTGATTATAAAGGCAGAGGGTGACGCTGATTTCCACTCCTCCGACTCACTTCAATGGAATAATGCATGCCTCTCATCCTACGACCACTTTCCCACTGCACAAAAGGCTTCCAAAGAAACGGATAACAAAAACGTTCCCATGGGGGAATACCCTTTCCAATGTGGCCTATAAAAACCAGCCTTTAATCTGAGTGAGTGCATGGCTAATTTGCAAATAGTTCCGGCTCACACCCCATTTCATGTGGAGCCTCAGCTGGTGGAGATGATGGTTCCCCTTTATTCTCATGGTTGCGCCAACAAAATCCACAAGGCTCTCTCCCATCTCAAAGGTCTTATTTTGATTTTTAGTACAACACCCATCTATATATTCTCCAAAACCTCACACTAACAACATGCATGGTATGATTGCAGGGATATATTCAGTTAACGTAGATTACGAGGAGCAGAAAGTGACGGTGTGGGGAATATGCAACAAAAACCAAGTGTTGAGCACTGTGAGAAGCAAGAGAAAAGCAGCTCGTTTTTGGAACAATGATGATGATGATAACAATAATAATGATCCACAAGCAGAAGAAGAAGGTCTAAACTCAAGAAGGCCTTCTTTTGGTGTTAACAAGCTTCGTTCCCTCAGTTTCAAATTAGCCTGCAAGAAGGTTTTCACCACTACAAGATCATATTCCTTGCGTATCTTTGGGGCTCCTACTGTTTCCTAACTTTTGTACATAATATATGTATCCATCTATCTTTTCACTCCATGCTCAATCATCAATCTCAACATGAATGACTACTCCACACACTTCCACTAATCCCTTATTTCTACATCTTCTTCTTCTTCTTCTACTTCTTCTTCACATCACCAGATGCACACAATTACGTTTCTTTGATTGCCCCTGCTATTCTAAATTCAATTATCGTTGGTGCTAATTTGGCTACTATCACCTAACCAATCACTATCGGTTATCGTGGTTATGGAACATTTGTTCTTCCATAACCAAGATAACACTCTAATTCTACAAAATAAGAAATTTACTTTAGGCTGAGATTATGGTATTGTATGTACGTGAAAGGAGGAAAGAAATTTTGTAAAATCTAGGCTCTGAGGTGAGGAAAGGGATCTTGTTGATATTGTATGAAATGATGCAGGTTAACACTAGAGTGATTACTTGTGTTATCTTTCTTGTTGAGAATAGGAAGAAATGACGAGCCTAGACTAGGACGCTTGGACTAAGTAGGCTAGAGAAAGACCTAGAACTGGATACCTCCAAGAGACTCTGCATTTAGGGTCGCGAAAGGGGTAACAATCGGCCTAGACTCCAGTATTCTAGACCACGACAGGTTTGAGAAATCTTACGTGATAATCCTAGAGATGAGTGGATCCATGTCAAACCCACCCAGATCCACCCTAGAAAAGCTAGTAGGACGCCACGGTAACTATAGACAACCAAGGTAGCTCTATAGACTTGAGCAGTGTGAATAGTGTCACTAGAACCTCTACTTCCCTCTCTGCTCCGATACTGTACCGTCGAGACTGAACTCCAATACTAAGATCGTCGAGCTAGGCTGATCTGGACAGGGTAATATGATTCGTGCCTCGACCTAGTGGTGATAGCTAAAGGGTCTCCTAAACAGGACCTTTGAGCCGTAGAAACTTGTCCCTGAGCGGAGGACCTTGGGACCACGTAAGATGACCTAGTCACTAATCGGCACACAGGGGATCGCAGCCCCCCGAATTTAGTGGTAGTATGGTTCTGCGGGAGGGTTGTCAGCTAACCTCAATGAATGATGTTCAGAGAGCAATATTGATTCAGATCCAGCCATACTGTCCCTCAGTTTTACTCATGAGGTTGCGCCTCATCGCAAGACACGGATCATTCATCGCATAAGATGGGCAAGCTACCTAATTTGTACAAAAGAAAGAGTTGGAATCTAGTCCGCACTCCCTAGAACCTAGAGATTGGGTCGTGGATACTTACCCAAATTAGAATGCGAAAAGAGCCAATTTGGTTGATCACTCATTGTTCTTATACTCATCCCTTTCTATTTTCTTTTCCAAATAAGTGATGCCACGAATTGAGGCAAGAGAGCGTTCGAGACTCCTAGAGCCAAAAAGGAGCGTCAGACATTTGGGAGTTAATGTCATATCATACATTTTGTACCCCGCAAACTTCTTTTATAAAATTCATACCCTACTTAAACCATTGTTTTTTTTTTTAATTGGAATTCTTCTTCTTAATTGCTAAATTTTTCATTACTTCTCTCTTTTTACATGCTTTCCTTGCATACTCAATAAGCCTCATCTTTGATTTCGACAGAACAGATCATTGAAATGGAAAAAATTGAATTGTGATAAAAAAAAAAATCAATTTTAGAGTTGAAAATGTTAAAGTAATGAGTTCGATTCATTGTTTTTGATACCATTAAAGTTTTGATGAATATTTGTGAATTTATTAGTAGAACATGTGAAAGGTGAATGAATTTTTATAGGGTGTGATTCCAATTTTTGGATATTTATTAAAATGGTATCATTTATGATTTGTGGTGTAAACATAAAAGCTTAGATGAGTGAAATGGCATACATCATTAGGAAAAGGAAGAAACAAGAAACCCAAAATTGATTAGAATGAAAATATCATTATTGCGAAAAGAAAGAGACTGTCAGTGGGAACAAGGGTTAAAAGGGAGGGAAGACGGAGAGTTAGATGCAAATCTGAATGGGAGAAGGGAATTAAGTACCTACTCTCTACATCACAAGGTGGAAGAGGAGACGACTGTGGCACCACCACCTCCTGCTCCGCTTCACTATTCTGGTTATTCTTCTTCCTTGTACTCTTCTTTCTAATTCTGCATATTTAACGAATCTTGAATCTTATTCTGCCCTCTTTTCATTGCTTTTTTTTCTTAAAACTTGTCCATTTCCTTCATTGTCTCCTGCAATATGAACATGGGTTTTGCCCCTTTTGGTGTTGGTAATGGAGGATCTTCATCATCTTTCTCCAATTTATCACCTTTGGCGCCGCCCTTTACTCTTGATCGTTCGGTTACTAAACCTTTATCAACCCCACTTGTGGATATCACTGAACCTGAACCTGAACCTGAATTTGGGGTTGGGGTTGGGGTTCCCCTCAACCCTTTGCAACACAATTGGCTCCCTTCCACCTCCAAAACCTCAGCCCATGACTTCGATTGGTTACCCTTCTCTACTGGCTCTGGATACCCCAGGTCGCAGGCTATGATGGACCCTTCTCATAACCATGGACCTCTTTTGGGTCGTCTTACAATCACTTCAACTGACCTCTCCTCATACCACGGATCCTCTGATGGAGTAACAACTAGTATGGGCAAACCAAAACCCTATTATCCTTCTTATGCCGCAACTTCATCTAACAAAGCTGGTCCTACGGTCATTGTTGATCAACCAAGTTATGATTGGCTATCAAACTCGCACGTTGTTACATTCGAAGGGCCCCCGTGCACCGACTTCTCTCGCGGATCTTCAGCTTCTGAGAGATCAACTGAAGAGGCTTCACATTCTGTTGATGTGCTTGATCTGAATAAATGCAACGACTTTGTAAGAGAATATCCAAATGAGGAATTGTTTTCGGAGCGAAACCGTAACATTGAGAGAATTTCTAACATGGATGCTCATTCTGCATTTCCAGGATGTCATCCTAAGACTAGGACACCACCTTCCAATCCAGCCTCAAGTTCTCAAAACTCTCCATTTCTGAAAAAGCCTCCATATCTGGAAATCTCGAGAGAGCAAGATTCTAGACTGAACGTGACTACATCAATTGTCAATTCTCCCGCTACTTTTTCCATCAGACCATCTGTTGTCAGCGCTGATTCTTTTGCCTGGAATGTCAGCTCATGTCATGTTAACTCTGAGAGCAAGGAATTCGTCAGTGCAGAGAATTATGATACATGTATAGATAAAAACGATCCCGTAATTACTGAGCCCTCATCAACCAAAATTCATGACTTGCGAAACAATATACATTCTGCTAAGGATTCGCCAGATCGTAGATTGAAGGCTGGAATGAGACTTCATATTCCCGATGCCAGTCCTCATTTTAGTTTGGACCCTAAAGGAATTGAAACTGCCACAACAACTGAGAGTTCCTCTGAAAGTTTTGATCAGTACAACCTTGCATCAGTAGACTCACCTTGCTGGAAAGGAGTTCCAATTAGTCAGATTTCTCCTTTTCAAGCATTTGAGATTGTTACTCCGAGTCGTACGAAGATGTTGGAAGTTTACAACAGTGTGAATCTGTCATTGTCTCAAGTACCCCCGTCTACTGCTGAGGATACTGTGAAAGTCATAGTTCATGAACCAAATGAAAGCACGATAGGCAGCATTCTGGAAAAAGGTGCAACATCTTCTCCAAAGATGCCTTCAGTTTTTGGTTCCTCCTTGCCTGCAGAACAGAAAAGTAGCAATTCTGTGAAAGCAGGAGAATTTTGTTCAAAGATGGGTTGCTTCCATCCAGCTACCAGTAGCGTCTATGAAGCGTTTGAAGATGGTGGTGACTTCTATTCTTCCTTTTCCATACCACAAGATAAATATAAGCATAATTTAGAGTCTGGAAAAAGGATTGCACATACAAGTTGTACGGAAAAGCATGCAGATGCAAGATTAAATAGCGACAACTCTTCTGGAAATGGTTTAAATCATTTGTCGTTTGATGCTGCAGAACATGTAAAGGCATTTCATGGAGAATCAACTTCAAAAGTTGATATCAGGATTTTGGTTGATACATTGCATAGTCTATCAGAGTTGCTCCTTGCACATTGTTCAAATGGTTTGGATGCATTACACCAAAAAGACGTCATATCCCTCGAGACTGTGATGAATAACCTTGATGTGTGTATAAATAGCGTTGGATCACAAGGTTCTCTCTCATCTGAGCAAAGGACTTCACAAAGCCTTGAGCAGTTTCATCAGCTTCATGCGGTATGTTAATTCTACTCAAATCTACTCGAGGCTTAGAAGTCCTCACTGCATTGTGAGAATGCAAATTATAATTCCTGTGATTATGTAATATATTTGTTCGTCAGCATTTCCAGGATTTGGGAGTGCTCAAGTCCCAGTCCCAGATGACAAAGATTGAAGGTGAAAATTTGGAGTGTCTATCAAATGATCGAAATGGTGTCGAGGAAACGAATCAATACATATTATCTGTCAAGAAAGACAAAGAAGCTGCTGGCACTCATCATCTTAGGAATGGGATTGACTCGATGAAAGAAGATAGCATGACCAAGGTATCTATTAGGAAAAGAAGTTACATCTTTTCATCTGTTGAGTGGAACATATAATGAATGATCACTTATCAGCTTATGCCGTTATCATATTTTAGGCTCTTAAGAAGGTTCTGAGTGAGAATTTTCATGACGATGAAGAACATCCTCAAACTCTCTTATTCAAGAATCTATGGCTTCAAGCAGAAGCTGCGTTATGTGCCTCCAATTTAAGAGCTCGTTTTAATAGTGCAAAGTCAGAAATGGAGAAATATGAATCACCAAAAGTGAAAGGTAAGTTTTAATCATATTGTATTTAGTTTGGTGTGTTGAGTCAATGTTCTCCTTAGATTTATTTATTTATGAGCTAATTTTTATGCCTTAGAACATGCCAAAAATCACAACCAACTATTCGTTTCTGGTGCATCTCCTGGTTCAAACACCATTGCGAAAGTGGCATCTAAGACTAAAGTTGGTTCCACCCCATTTGTTTCCGTCCAAACTTCCCCTGCCGTGAGTGTCAGAAGTCATGCATCAGATGACGTGATTACTAGATTCAATATTCTCAAACACCGAGACGATGAAGCAAAGCTTAGGGATGCCGAAAATTCGGGAACACTATCTGATTTTGAGGTTTCAGTTAAACAACGCATGGTTGAAAAATCCGCACTCGAGAAGGAACAAAGTGCAGGCCCACATATGAAAGACATGGATTCTTCCTTCCCCTCTTCAAAGGTCAAGGGGAATGATTCTGGGCCAGCTCCTCGGTCGACTTCCCCCATCTTGACCAGGACCAGTCATATAGACGATGTTATGTCGAGATTTCAAATTCTGAAATCTCGAGACGAGCACGTAAGTTCTTTGAATGCGGGAAAGGTGCAGAAAGTTACAAGTTCCCATTGCAGTGAGATTGGGAAGGCGGCACCTGAAGGTGTCATCTCGATGATACATCACCCCATTGCAGATAACAAAAATGAAGTTGATGATTTAGATGGTTCAGTAGTGGGCAGACTAGATGTCCTAAGGAGTTGGGTAAACAACATAAGCCCAACCCCTGCAGGAGAAAACTTACAGGAGTATTGGACATCTGTGGAAAACAAAGTAAAAATGGAACCTTTCTTGCGGCCTGAAGCTGGTAAGGATAGTAGAAGCCATTTTGAGGGCAAGCTTCCTGCTGGTTGTTCTAATGGGTCCTCATCAGACTGGGAACATGTTCTCTGGTGCGATTGAATGTGTATAGAGTTCTAATGATCCTTTTCTCAGTGTATCATACGTTTTTATTTCTGTTGAATCAACTTCTGGTGAGACTGTTTAACTCACTCAGATTCTCTGCGATCCTCAACTACCATCGATCATAATACATATCTTGTTTGTTCATAATAGATATCTTGTTTGTAATTACTTTGTTCTTCTGTCTTTATATTTTGAGAAAAATGAAGTGGAGTTCTATTCTTTAATAAAGAAGATCAGGAAATTTAACAAAGAAGAAGATTGGACAAACTCTAATTAGGTGAGGATTTGTTTTTGCTGAAACAGTTACGCTGATTAGGTGAGGACGGTAAACAACCAGCCCACCGTACCAAACCTAAGAGCAAAATGTAGTCACACACACCAACCACTGATTGATGGAGTTAAACTTTATCACTAATTCTCGTTCACTCACCTCTCAAATGACCATCTCCCCATCTACTCTCTGCTACCATTTTTTTCAAAACGACCATTTGCATCATCCGACACACTAAGAGTGTGCATTGAAGCTAAATCGAGGTATGCACAAAGCTCGAGAGAATGAGGCGACACGAGTGTCGCAGACAAGCTCAAAGAAGACTAGGTAGGGTCCCATGCCATAACCTCAAAAGTCGGAGTTTCGATATGAGTTTCAGCATGTGGCTCGAGAATTAGGTCTGTCGATATAAAAAGATAAAAGCTCATCAAATTTGGTGTCAAACGAATACTCGATGGACTATGCACGAGACCGTCTGTCCACCCGCTAAAATGATGTCTACTCGAGAAGGATTGGAAATGCCTCAAAATGTATTATAGGGGAGGCATGGTGTGGGCTTTCTACCACCTCTAACCCCTTAAGCCTAAGCAAGCTACCCAGTGTTATATTCGTGTGTCACGGCATGAGCAAGCGTGTAAGGGATCTTCCTTTGAAAATGGTATTTTCTATTTTGATTGTTGGGATATATTTGGGTGACACTTTAGGGTGTTGCAATGAAGTTTATTGTGTAACAAGATAAAGTGGGTGAAAAGGTGGGGAGCGTGTGGATTGACCAATAAAATTTGAGTTTCAATTCAAAGGTGGGGTGAAGTTTGGTGGAATTGTGTAATTGAAGAGAAAAATGAAGAAATGAAAGGTAGATATGAAAATTAGAAGGCAGCTCAATAAGATTGGAGGTCAACCGCAGTGGACCCATTTACCAACCCCGTTCGATATTTGGTATCTGTATTGGGATGGCTCCAACCAAAACAAGACAAGTGTAAGTGAGTGAGGTGAGTAAGGTGAGGGAGGGGCGTGAGTGCGGTTGGTGGAGGATGTGAAAGAAAGTTGAAGTCACTATAAAACCAACACTCACCACGGGAATGTATGGGTTGTAATTGCATACCATTCTTTAAGCAAACCAAAGTCCAGGGAGAAAGAAATAGAAAAGAATGGGGTCCTCGGGGCAAGGTTGTGAGGTCCAGATCACCCCCACCACCCAAGTGAGCGATGAAGAAGCACAGCTGTTCGCTATGCAGTTGGCGAGCGCTTCGGTTCTTCCAATGGTGCTGAAGGCCGCCATCGAGCTAGACGTGCTGGAGATCATTGCGGCGGCAGGGGAGGGGGCTTTGTTGTCCCCCTCACAAATTGCCTCTCACCTCTCCTTCTCCGGGGCCAAAACCCCAAACCCTGAGGCGGGTGTGGTTCTGGACCGCATGCTCCGGTTGCTGGCTTCCTACTCCATCCTCACTTACTCCCTCAATACTCTCCCCGATGGCTCACTCCAGAGGCTCTACGGCCTCGCCCCTGTAGCCAAGTTCTTGGTCAAGAATCAAGACGGCGTCTCCATCGCTCCCCTGTGTCTCATGAACCAGGACAAGGTCCTCATGGAGAGCTGGTAATTACCCTCCTTTCCATCCTTCCTCTGCTTCAGATTCAAATTACAAATAATAAATCTAACCAAGTGTATGCATAATTAATAATTTAAAAACGTATTTGTCATTAATAGAGTCAGTGTTGATTATAATACAACAAAAAGAAAAAAAAAAGTTATTTAGGCGTGATTGAGAGTGTCTTTAATTAATGATTCAAAATTAACTCTTTTTGGACACTTAGATCTGAGAAGTCAGATCAGAGCTTAGCTCCTCTGCTACTCTGCTCCAAAATGTTTTGGGAATAATTTTAATAATTTTATTTAAGGAACCATGACATTATTTGTATGTTTTGGGAATGAAGGTACCATTTGAAAGATGCGGTACTGGAAGGAGGGATTCCATTCAACAAAGCATACGGAATGACGGCGTTCGAATATCATGGAACAGATCCGAGATTCAACAGGGTGTTCAACAGGGGAATGTCCGACCATTCCACCATTACCATGAAGAAGATTCTAGAGACCTACAAAGGCTTCGAAGGCCTTAATTCAGTGGTGGATGTGGGCGGTGGGACCGGAGCTGTTCTCAACATGATAGTCTCCAAGTACCCTTCTATTAGGGGCATCAACTTCGACCTCCCTCATGTCATTCAGGACGCCCCTGCCTACCCAGGTAACCTCTGTTTCGGAACTGGGAATTTAATAAATATGCATCCGAATTCTCAATTGCTTCTTCATTGAAATGGCTGCTGCAGGAGTCCAACATGTTGGGGGCGACATGTTTGTGAGCGTCCCAAAGGGGGATGCTATTTTCATGAAGGTAAAGTAACTGAATTTAGAACACCTACACTCATACCTATACCGACTCTGTATTGTATCGATTTGGTCTGATGTAATGTGGGGTTTGCAGTGGATCTGTCACGATTGGAGCGACCAGCACTGCCTGAAATTGTTGAAGAATTGCCACGATTCTCTGCCGGAGCATGGGAAGGTGATTGTGGCGGAATGCATTCTTCCGGATGCACCAGACAGCAGCCTTGCCACCAAGGGAGTGATTCACATCGATGTCATAATGCTGGCTCACAACCCTGGAGGCAAAGAAAGGACCGAGCAGGAGTTCCACGCCTTGGGCAAGGCTGCTGGATTTCAAGGCTTCAAGGTCCACTCTTGTGCTTTCAACACATACATCATGGAATTTCTCAAGACTCTTTAGTTTCGAACTCCAAACATAACCTTCCTCCTCTGCCTTTCTGCCTTTCGGTTTTCAAATCGATCAATAACATCTTTTGTGGCCATAAGTTTATTATTTGGGCAAAAGAATCAATTTTACAACGTGGAAAGGATAAACCAAAATGAAAAAGAGAAGTGTTAGATAATACATCGAAGATAGCGCGATGAAGTGTTGGCCATTGGATGGTAAGGCTGCTTACGACATCGCCGCTGACATGATGACGTCAAAAGCAAGATATTAAAAATAAGGGTAATTTAAATAAATAAATAGTCATGATCAGAGTGGACCCCACTTGTACTCTAGGAGTCAATGGTCGTTGTGCAGATTTTCCGCCCCAATCACAATTCAGGTCGCCAATCCTCTCTTTACTAATTCATAACACAAACAGATAAGAAAAGGCACACTCAATTCTTTTTAAAAAAAACGAATCTTTTCAGCTAATAATTGCTATTTTTCTTCTTCTTTTTTTAATTGAAATATCCTTGTTCCCCATCAATACTCGAACAAATAAAAACGGATTTTGAATTCTAAGTGTGTGGGGGTGGAAGAAATATTATTGAATATTACATATTTTAACCCTTTTTTTTTTTTTTGTTTACCTAAGTAATTATTTCTCATTTGTTTTGTGTAATGATAATCATTCTAATTAAAACAGAACAAAGTATGATATAATAAAAAAAAATAAAGGATTTAGTACAACTTAATCTAACGCATATATAATTTTTTTTATTAATAAACTATGAAAGTAGGAACACCTTTCTGCTTCTTTTCTACTGGTTAGAAAGTGAAGTTAATAGGGTGATGTTAGGCAGAGGAGAAGAATGAAGGGGGAGAGAGAGGAAGTTAGAAGGAAGGAGGGTTAGATGGGCAAGTAGTTGGGAAGAGGATGGCATGGAATCTGAGGGAACCCCTCTCATTCCCTCCACCATCTCCATCATTGATGACCTTCATTCACTCCACTCTTATTCACCAAATTCTTATAATGAAGATCACCCTTCCCATCTCTAAAACTTACTCACACACGCAGTTTCCACACCTCAATTTCCGCACAAAAGGGCCAAGGACCAATTAGGTCTGCCCCAATTGTATGTCCTTAACCTTCGTCAACCATCAATCTACCTCTCAGCTCACATGCATGCCTCATACCTCATCAACCTCCATCTACTCTACTTTAACTTAAGTTTTACCTCAAAGGAAAGGAAATGTTTATCACTTTGTTTCTAGTTAGTATCAATACAAACCTTTTTCCTAACGATCAATATTTATATGCCAATAGCCGAAGGTGTGTTTCTTCATGTTATTTTTCTCATTTTAATTGTCTTGTCCATTCTTTCTCCTTCTACCCTTGTTACCACAAATATGGCTATGGCAAAATCCTCCTCTTCTCCTACTTAGTTACTTTCTGCATTTTTTCTTCTGCATTTTTTCTTCATTTACAATAGTATCGCATGATCTTCATTTACAATAGTATCACATCATCAAACTTTAGAGTTAAATTTCAAACACCTTTACAACAATTGCTTAATCTAAAATTTCACAATAGGTGTGCACATTTGACTAACTATCATCATTGCTAGACCAAAAAAAAAAAAAATCAATAACCGATTCACCACCATTTGTCCCAAGCAAAACTCACTACTAAAAAAAATTAATAACCAATTCACCACGTCCAAGAAGAGTTACAATGCCTAGTTAATTATCAATCCAAGAAGCACGGGTTGGCTTTCATCTCATTTCATTGTTTTAGTAATCAAACAGAAGTTGAAAAGACCAATTACCATTGTAAATTAAATGAAAAAGAGAACTACAAACTCACTACTAAAAAACTTGAGACGATTGAACAGAGAAAAATAAAGATAAATCCAATAAGGCTACCACCCAAAAATGTCCTAATGCAATGCAACAACGCAACAAAAGGGCCTTCTAATCGAATAAGCTGAATCCCATGTCGTCATCACTCTCTTCCTTCGGCTCCTCCTGCACAATACGCTTAAGAATGAACAAATATCGAAAGGGGAAAGACAGATAAGATTCATTCCAGGCGACTACCATGTCAATCGCGATGGTCATTAAAATTTGCTAGTTACAAATTATGCTGTCAATACAAGTTCAACGAGGGATAGATATGATCATCTAATGGGTTAATTATGAAAAGGTAAACATTTTAATTAGCATAATTTGACCATTGTATTGTCATGACAAACTAGTATTAGTCATACCAACATACAAAACGTGGGTCAGATAGAGCTACCAAAGGTAAAGCAGCATATTTGATTAACGGGTTAATACTGATAACCGGAGTTTATAAACGCGTCTATGGAAGGTTCCCTACATAATTATTACATCCGAGAGAGTCCATGAACAGTTGAAATGATCGTATGTTGTAAACGTATGAAAGAAACTTATCAAAGATATAGTTAAATTGTAAGAAAGAGTAGAAAAAAGATTCATCAGCATACCTTCTTTTCCTCAACGGCAGGAGCGGCAGCAGACGCAGCACCACCAGCAGGAGCAGCTACAGACACAGCAGCCGCAGCGCCGCCACCACAGCCAACGTTCAGAAGAAGGTCCCCAATATCCCTCTTCTCCGCCAACTTCGCAAATAGGCTAGGCCAGTAGGATTCCACACAGAGCCCTGCAGCTGCTACTACGGCTGCAATCTTGTCCGCCTAGATACAAAAAATAATAATAATAATAATAAAAACTCGGACTAATCACGCATCGAGCATTCAAAAACAAGAAAAATGAGAGAGGGATAAAGAAAGTGGTTGGTACAGTGATTGCAATTCCATCATCGTGAAGAGCCAGGGCGGCGTAGGCGCAAGCAAGCTCACTGGTAGACATGGTTAGCGTAGCGCTTGATATGCAATGAGGAGCTATAAATTAAAGAAGCAGAGGTGAGAAAGAAGGCAATCGGAAACGATTGAGTGAGAAGTGCAAGATTAATAAACGGAGATCTTGGAGGAGCGACATACCGTGAGAGTAGTACTTAGAAGCCAAATGCGCGTACGGCGATCGCCACACCTCTTACTAAACTATGCTATATACCGGGGGGAAGGGGAAATAGGGTTTTTGATGCTCCATCGATATCGGACCGCGTTCATCTGACTGACTTGGGCTTCAGTGGACCAACGTAAATCTATTGGGCCGTTTGTATATTTTGAATTGTTTTGAGTTAAAAATTTTCTTAAATAAGTAAATTATAGAAATTAGTAAAAGGATGTTTGGGGATGGAGCTACATTATTACATTATACATAAGACATAAGCTATTGATTGGGGTTGGGGAGTAATTAATTTTGTGGAATCCTTTTCCACAAAATACGAGCTCTGCTTAGCCATTTTGAGCAAAACTGGAGTGGAGGGTGGAGGGTGGAGCCCTGCCTGCCTAAACCAATGCCACAACCTTCGCTCTCCGTCCCCACATCAATCCTCAATGCAAAACTCACATGACAGCCTCCACAAATTAGATATCACCTTCCATTTTTAATTAATTATGCTTAAACGCTAATATCTTCCATAATTAATCACGCTAATATCTTCAATTTTTATTATATCAATCGTCTAATATATATAATCATCACATGTTTATCTGTCGATTTTGGAAAAATCGACAATTAAGTCACAATTCAAGTTCGAGGTTTTTGAAATAAAAAGAGTAATCAACTAAATTATTTTTCGGACATATTATATTATGAATGACAAAAAAAAAAAAAAGATATTTTTCCACTAATAAAAAGAGAGAATAAAATATAAAAAGAATTTAGGGGGAATTAAAAAAAGATGCGAAATGCAAAGAGTGAAGACAAAATGAAAGAAGAACCAAACTAATCATCTTTCGACGTTTCCTAATAAACAAATCCCAGTAACAAACATGTGCACTCTAACTCATCATTGTCTTGTCCCCAAGTTTTAATAACCTCCACAAAAATTTATTTATAGTACATTCATCTTTCTTCCCGATCTACCCCCACATCTTTCATTTTTATATTATTCCCTTTTTTAAAAAAAATATATATTCAATTTCTTTTATTAGAAATTTGTGTCCCACCCTCCACCGTACGTTAAATAACATTAAAATTTAGTACTTTTCTATATAATTCAATACAAATTAAGATATGGTTTTGCACCACGCTAATGACTATGGTTCCACATCTCTTTCCAAACTAAGTCCATGTGGCAATGGTGGGGAGACGTATTTTATAAACTATGGAGTATCTCCTAACGAAAATTGATGATATAAGTCAAGGTACCTCAATCATGCAATATGTACTTCAACTAAGATGGAAAAAATGTGGTTCATATTACTTAATACAAATTAAAACTATAATTAAATAAAAATCGAGTTTCAAACATTTTTTCCACATCATTCTTAAAGGGCATATTGTAGGATTGAAATGTTTTAGCTGTGCTCCATTTATATTTTGTATAATTTGAAATTGTGGTAGATTTTAATATAATTATTGCTTTTAGATAAGGTAATATAAACGTTTAAGAGTTTTAATAAAATGGACAAAATGAAAGTTTTGATTTACTAAATGAAGTTTGATTTTTGTGAAATATAAAATGAAAATAAAGTTGTAAAAAGTCAACTACTAAATTAACATAGTAATAAAAACACGTGGACTGAAAACATAATTGAAGTTGAATTTTTGTGAATATACTTTGCCTCCACTAGAAGCTTCTCGGATGCCACAGTTGCGGACCCCACTCCTAATACCTACAAATTTACACGTCACCCTTTGAATAGAAGATTTAATATTTGCCTTTCATTTTTTACACAAAAATTCAAAATGAAATCCGCACATATTTAATTAAAATAATTATAATGATTATATATATTTTCTAAAACGATCGAATCCATTAAAAGTTTTAAAAATTCTTTTCTATAATAATTTATTAAAATTTGTTATTATAAAGTTAGATTTTAATCTATCCCGCTCAACTAGTTTTACTGGGCTCTTAATTTTCTACTCTATACTTGGTATGGTAAATCTTTACCCTCTTTCGTTTAAACTAGTTAATCCTCCTCCACTTCTAAAACTAGAGCAACCTCACATAATCAACCATAATTATAAGTGTGATGGAAGGATATGCTTCTGCAACAAATAAACTTCACTCGTAATCATAGTCTATTTAAACTACGATAATGCATCACATTAACCTGATTAAACAACAATAACGAAAGATAAAATAAAATAATAATGCAACTAAACAACAAACTATCACTTAATCAACACAAAATTACAATTGATTAGGGTGTTTTTACATGGGTTTGATTTAATTTTTGTCAAATTTGTAGATAGTTTCAACATTTGGGTATTTTTTCTATGTTTGCAAACACCATTTCTTTAAGGTTAAAACCAAATTGAAAATAATTTAATGACATTTAGGTATATTTAGCCAAAATTAAGATGAATTTAGAAACAATTTTCACAAAGTCTCTTATGTATAAGAATTAGCAAGTTATATCCACTAATGAAGAAAATATCTAGGTTCAGTTACAAACAAAATGACCATGATACCCTTTTCTCATAATTATTAAAAAAAAATAATATCATATAGTCCTTGTCAAACCTCTTTTTCATTAAGTTGAAAAATATTCATATCTAAATACCTAAATCAAAGAAGGTAAGAGTATGGCTTAAAATTCAACCAAGCCATGATGGTTAAGGAGAACTCGCGAATGGTGTAACAAGTTTTTATTAGTTAGAAGATGCGAAAAAATTTATTACAACATTCATCATTTTAAATACGATGATCATATGAATAATGAGATATATGTTCAATGACATGTACTCTATAACCTAAGGCTAAATGTTCAATTCTTTTAGCTGAATTTAATACAGAGGTGAATAGTAATATAATCATTTAATTTATAGCAATTAAATAAAAATTCACTACAACAATGAACCCAATTAATTGTCATTTTACATTATCATCCAACCATAAAATGCTACAAATAGCTCCATATGGCATAGTTTTCCAAAAATTAAAGTTTAACAAACAATACAAAATAAGTAGCCAAATAATTTGGTTGATTTTTGAAGAGAAATAATGTCTATTTTTTTTTAATCTCCCAAAAATTCAGGAAATCTCAACCTATAAGGAAAAAAAAAAAAAAGAATTTAAATAATTTAGGTCAAACCAAATCTTAAATCTTTTAAAAATCAACTTTATTTAAACAACAGGCTCTCGTATTTTTAGACTCATTTAACGCCAAAAACGAATTTTCAGTTTTGGTTCACAGGGAATCATTTAAAACCTTATAGGTTTAGATTTGAACAACAAAAACACTTTTAATAAAACCACAATTTTTATCCAAATGGAAACACACAGTCAATATTTAAATTTTCAAATCAAATCTCGTTTTTCTCAAAACAATAATATTTATACTTTTTTTTGTTGTCCAATATTACACCTTGAAAAGAAAAAAAAAAAATATGTATATATATTTTCCTTCTTAAATTAAATCGAAATATTGAATTTCATTCATAAAATAGTAATAGTTGAATTTCTTAGCGACAGACAAGCTTCCTTTGTAAAAAAAAACATTAATTTAGGTGTAGATAAAAATGAATATTTTAATTTATAAAAACAAACAAATTTAAATTATATATATTTTAAAACAACATTATATTAATTTTTAATTTATTTATTATTACTTATAATAATAATAATAATAATACATGATGTTGTAAAATATTAATTTGACAGAAATGGAAAATGAAAAGATTTATAACCATTGTGAAAACAATTTTTATAATTGAAGAGAGATATATTATACACAAAAGTGTTGAATTTAAGGTAATATATGAATAAAAGGAAATGATGATGAAAAATGGTAAAAACAAAATGTGGGCGTGGGTGATGAATGGCATTTGCATTTATAAGAGCAAAAATTAAATGTGATAAAGATATAATGATTGGTTTGCATATAAAGAAATAAAGAAATAAAGAAATAAAGAAAGAAAGAAAGAAATGCATGATGCATGGTGATGGTTCATTCATGCATGGGTGATGGTAAAGGGCATGGATATGGGCATTTTAGGAATTTTGAAAAGTTTGGTTGGGTGTCCCTGAAATATGTTGAGGGCGAGGGGAAAAGGGGAGGGGAAGAGGAAGACGGAATTTCATCGCATCGGTCATTTCTGGGATGCTGTGCCACTCTCATCTCCACCGCAATCCGACGATCTGATTCTGAGCAGCCCACGTACACACACCCCTTCCTTCTCTCTTTCTTCTACGCCTCTCTGTCTGTTTACCAAGCATCGCCCCCCCCCCCCCCCCCCCCCCCCCCCCCCCCCCCCCCCCCCCCCCCCCCCCCCCCCCCCCCCCCCCCCCCCCCCCCCCCCCCCCCCCCCCC